TTCAATTCTACTCGATCAACTCAAATACTGATATTAAATCATGGAGGGACATAATATGGGGGAAACGGGGCGGTAACTCACGTGACGACGGGCCGGGTCGTCACAGTGTTCCCTCACGTGAATTCTCCTCCAATGTATGTTAGATCTCTTCCAAAATAGGTTTAGAATTCCTTATATACTAGTTGGGATCGTGTAGGGCCGAAATAATCTTGTCCCAAATAAAGTAGGAAAAATTCCCGCCTCCAGAGCTGGCCCCGGCGCCAAAAACAGTTACGTTTTTTTTTTTTTTGCCTTCTTTCACTCTTTTGGTTTGAATTGTATTCTCCCTTGTTTTGTCTCCGACTTGGGGGACAAAAAACCAAAGGGTGTCCCCCTTTGTTTTCGTTAGTTTATTTCCTTTTTTTTTGCTTCTGCATTTTATTTAATTTTGCTTCAAATCTCTTTATCTTCACATCGTTTTATTCTTATAAAGTTAAAATATAATATGAAGCACAAAGTAATATAATTAACACTCAAAAGACGATTAAAAGTACTAGAACATGAGATAACAATGAGAAAATATATGCATTTTTGACCGAACATCATGTATTAAAAAAGACTTCTAAATCTCTATATAATTTTCTTTCTACTAGTGGCCTCCAAGTTGTCTTTACTCAATTACATCATATTCTCTCACATATCCTTTTTTTTTTCTGAATCCCAGTGCTTACTTTCTTCACCTATTTCTCAATCTAACAGCTTAATATTGGTTGGTTTGCTGAAATTTAAGTGTTCTAAAGGTATGATTATATGTTGGAAATCTCTTATTTCTTTCTTTCTGGTGCTTCTATTTCCAGCGTAGCTTGATTTATTGTACTCTCTTATTCCCTCTACTGATTCTAATTAGAGTTTTAAATCCGAAAAATTCAAAGGAAGTTATTTGGCCGAGTTCAAGACTGGTGCTCTTGAGTTTATGCTTGATCTGTTTAATGTTTTTGATTGGGATTTGACGGATCTGTTTGCTGCGATTTTTTCATCCTAATTTCTCACAGATCTTCTGTGTTGTTTCGCAAGATGAGATCTTTTTGTTCTATTTTCGATAGATTTGGCCTTAATTAGCAACACAATGACATAAGATGTTGAAATGCTCTTCTGTAGTGAGTAAATGACCTTCTGCTGATACACAACATTTCCAGCTCATGATGTTTCATTATTCTGGTTCAGACTATGTGGTTATGGAGTCTCTTCATGTATATTAATTTGCTGATTTTGTCTCTGTTTGTGGTAGCTATATTTGTTCAATATAATGAAAGGTCTTTCTTATATCCAAGAGTTGGAAATAAGTTGCCGGATGATGATTATTGAGTGAGTAATGCACAGTGCTTATATATATAGAAATAGAAGCAGCGAATAGCTGTGTTTGAGAAGTCATTGTAAATGAGCAGGAGAAGAGATCTGTGATCAATATTAGTGGATTTAAACAAGTGCAACTAACTACAAGATGTAAATCTTTTATATGCTGAAATATTAGCAACAATCTACTGCAATCAACTTGACATTTGACAACAAGTGTTACAAATTGTTTTAGAGAGGGCAATTCAACAAGACAACCATAGGCTCAAGCTGAAGTACAGTACTTCCATTGTTTTTGTAGCTCATCCGCTTTGTTCAGTAGATATCTCCATATTATTTTGGTAATTGGGTTGGGAGATCTATGGTCAATCCACCTTTTTTGTTTCAGGTGTCTCGCTATATCAGTGGCGGAGGCAGAATTTCTGCTTAGGGGTTCAAAAATGAAAAAATGTTAAAAATTAAAAGAAATTATGGCCAATGGAAATTGAACCTGTGACCTCAAAAAGGTTTTGACCGCTTGACCACTAAATTATGCTTTTGGGTTGTGTCAAGGGGATTCAAAATATAATATATAGAGCTAAAAAATAAATTTTGTCTTATATGTACAGTGTAGTTTTCGACTTTCGCCCTCCTAAATCCACCCCTGAGCTATATGTGCAGTAAATTGTCATCTGCGATATGCTTTATGCTTATTCTTTCAGATTCTTGTGTTCTTTCTTCTACTTCTTTCTCCTAATAATGGTTTATGTACTTTTCAGACATCAGATCTTGAGAACTTTAGAGGAAGGGAAGGAAAAGTTACTTTGGCTTGACTAGCGAGAATTACACACATGGAAAAAGGAAAAGAAAATGAAGGAGAAAGAGAGAAAGGGGAAGCAAACTACTCATTGGTATGCCATACAATATTTATACGTATTAAAACTAATATGACTTGGATGATTATCCAAGTAATCCTCAAGACAGTATAATATGTTATTCATATCTTTTGGAAATTCTTGTTCAAAGGTTCATAATCTGATCATGGCATTTTCTTTGTTGAATATTTACTTTCTAAGGCGTAAAAATAGTTAGTAGGTGAACTTCCGAAGTAAAAATAGATCTTCATGGAAATAAGCTTATTTATATATCTAAGTACAGCTCCGGGAACTTATATGCCTTCTTTGTTGATGAATAGCCTAGGACACTGTAGAACACATATCTAGGACTGAATTTATCACCCTTCTTCACACTGTAGGACACATATCCTAGACATCCAAAAATTCTCATGTGATCTAGTGAAGGCATATGATTGAACAATAGTTCATAAGGTGACTCACAACTATTATTAGTTCTCATACTCTTTACTAAAGGTAGGTACTCTGTGTGGCCCCGACACATAACCATGCATAGTCCTCAGATAAATTTACTTTAGCCTTAGAGGGATTGTCATTCCCAGCCCTTTTCCGACATTGAGAAGCATGGTGGCTAGGTTTGGCACACACAAAGCAGTTGCCTTTTTTCTTGAAGGTTTGATTGTTGGTTTTGGGCTTATAACTATTTCTTTTATCGTACTTGTTGTTTGATTTGTTCTGCCACTTGTTGTCCTCCACAAGGTTGGCTCTTGTAGCAATCTCCTTTCCTTTGTCAACTACAGCTTGTTTGCGGTTAGTATTTTCAATTATAATGTGCTTGACCAAATCCTTCAGCGACAATTGCTTGTGTTTGTGCTTCAATTGTTGTTTGTAGTGACTCCAAGATTTGAGAAGTTTTCCTATAAGCATACCAGCAGCAAACTGTTCGGGTAGAGAGATATCTTCAGATTTGAGATCTTCAATCAACTTGTGATATTCGTTGATTTGTGCAGTTATGTCCTTGTCCTCCATCATCTCCCACTTGTAGTAATTGCCAATTACAAACTTTTGTTAGTAGCATCTTCAGCAGTGTACTTTATTATCATTGACTCCCAAATTTCTTTTGCCTCCTTGTAGGAAACATAGACATCGAACAACTAGTTAGAAAGAGTAGAAAATATAGTATGTCTACATACCATATTAGCATGAACCCATTGGTCCATCTGAATGGAAGTTGCTTTAGTTGGCTTAGGATCAGTAAGTGCAAAAACAACTTCATGCATGTCCAAAATAGAATGTACGCGTTCCTGCCAGCGCTTAAAATTATCTCCACCAAAAATCTCAATTTTCGAAACAACAGGAAAAGGTTTGGCATATGTAATTGGTGATGGAACAACAACAGAAACAGTTGGTGTAGCAGGTGTAGACACTAGCAGCGTTATTCTCCATAATAACAACATGGAAATATCCTTAAGACTATTGGAAAAAATTTGATGAATATGGACAATATGAGTTTAGCTTGAGGCGTGTCAAGGACACTGTCCTTAAGGATAATTCACCCACACCGTGATAAATATTATGAGGCGTATCCCCCAGGATTCAACAAGCACTTTTAGTATAACTAGGAGCAGAAACAACAAAGATTGTTTAAAAGAAAACCCAACACAAAAGAAAAGGAGAAGTTTTCCACGCACATTCTCAAATGAACACAAGAATATATATTTATATATATATTTGAGGAAAGTTAAAGCCATTAAGGCTTAAGGCCAAAACGTCAAAGCCATTTAAATGTACTAATTTCAAAATGTGAAGTCATTGAAAGCTATCATATGCCAAAACGTTAAAATCATAGTAATTAACTTCAATCATCATTTTTAATGTTTTCAAATTTGTAATTGAAAAATATTTCATCAGTTACATTTGTATTAAGACCCATTAATATTATGTTAAGATATGAATCTAGACATAATTTTAAATATTCGTTTTGAGATATTAAAATATTTTTCTTAACACTTCCTTTTGAGGAAACAAATCTTGCTTGAATTTCTGTGAAAGGGTTTCAGTGGAAAAACTCTAAACTAAGCAACTAATTGAACTGATGAAACCGAGAAGGATTATTGACTTAGGGAAAACTAAGATCTCAAATCATATTCTTGTTCTCATTTCTACCTTTTTAATAAAAGCCTTTACTTATCAAAAAAATAAATAAATTATATTCTTGTTTTCATTTATTTAACATGTATACAGAATTGTCATTGCCTTACCCATCCACGCTATATAGTGCAAATATTTGTGCGAATAATAACACATTTGATGCTAGTCAAGTTTTATACAACAGCTACTGCTATCTCAACGAAGTAAGTTGGGACCGGCAAAAGGGGGTTTTAGAGAGAGGGGAGAGAAAGTCCACAGGTGTATGTTAAGCATGGTCTGCTAACGTGCACCACCACCATGGCTCGCCGGAAACGGAGAGCCCCTCAAGTCTATACCTCAACCATCACTAAAAAAATTACTGATCCAAAACCCACTCAGACTCAAAGCCCTACCCAGGAGACAGAAGAGAGGGATACACAAACAGCATCTTCACATGGAAAGCTACAAGAGTTAAACCCTAAAGTTAACAGAGGAATCGATCCAAAAATCAAAATCTGGCAAATCACTCCAGCTTCAGGGGTACAGCAAAACCTAGCCCCAATACAGTTGGCTAGCTGGTTACCAAGGACCTCGAGTTAGACTGAGAAAAGGGAAACCCAGCAAGTTAAAAATGGAGAAGAAGTTCATACCCAACCTGCCCGGAAATTGACCTTTGCAATAGAGACGCCACATGCAACGCCAACAATGGCTGAGGTGGTGAAGAATAATCGAACACAAACTCAAGGTATGAAACTCAAATTCTATCCTCCAGTGATGAAAGATGGAATCAAGGTTGTGCAATTGAATCAGCGGGAAATTGACAAACAGAAGCAGAAATGCCAATGTGCGCTGATTGGGTATGTGTTTAGGGGAACCCTGAAATTCAAGGAAATGCTTCAGTTTGTGTATGGGGTCTGGCACTTTGTGAACACACCTAGGGTCTTCCTACATGATGATGGGTACTATATCTTTCAATTTGAATCTGAAGAGGACAAATCCTGCATAATACAAAATGGGCCTTACACATTTAGGAATAGGCCAATGATTCTGAAACAATGGAGTTCAGATTTTCAGCTGCATAAGGAAACAATCTGTATATTACCAATATGGGTATGTTTCCCTGTATTGCCACTCCTATACTGGTCTGAGGAAAATCTAGGAAGAATTGCTAGCTTCCTAGGCAAACCAATGTGTACTGATGTTCTAACAGCTAAAGGTGACAGAATATCTTATGCAAGAGTTCTAATTGAGATGGATATCACCCAAGTATTACCTGAATCTGTTAATGTTGAAGTCCCAGATGGTGGTATTTGGAGCCAAAAGATTGAGTATGAATGGAAGCCTACTCTATGTCAAGAGTGTATGCAGGTTGGACACCAAAAGGAGAATTGTCCAAAACAGAAGTAGGGATTGCAAGGCTTTATCAGGAACCCCAATCAAGATAAATACACTAGGCAAGTATGACAGCCTAAACCAAAGCTAAAATAGAAGAACCAACAGCTCCACTTGTGACCAAGATGTGACAGTCCACACTCCTCCAATAGTGATACATCAGGAGGAAACTCACACTGCCCCTTCCCAAGTTCAATTTAGAGGGAAGCAAGTGGTAGTGTTCCAAGGAAGTAAGGAGATACCACAGACAGATGAAAAGTCAGATAATGAGATGGATTTTAATCAATTCAATAAGCTATGCTTAAAAATTGGAGAACCTGCAAGTAGAAGAATGAAGGGGAGCAGAACAGGTCTGGAAAGTTGCAGAGGGATGGTCCTATTGCTAAACCTCCCCCATAATTTCCTCCTCATGGAATATTAGGGGGCTAAACAAGCCCTTTAAGAAAAAAGAATTTAAAAGCCTTTTGCTCAAGAATAAAATTGACTTAGTAGGATGTCTAGAAACAAAAGTTAGACAAAAAAAATGCCAAAAAAATTACTGGTAAATTTCATACAGATTGGAGGTTTCATTATGATTATACTCAAGTCCCAAATGGTAGAATATGGTTATGCTGGAGATAAAGCTGTGTAACTGTTACTATTCTGGAAAGTACCCCACAAGTGGTACACTGCTCTGTTGAAGATAAGAACTCTCAATTTCAATGCAAGATGTTTTTTATATATGGTTACAATACTGCAGGGGGCAGAAGAGTCCTATGGGAGACACTAAGCCACATTAGCACTTATACTATTGAGCCTTGAATTATTCTTGGTGACTTCAATACTATTCTCTCCACAGAAGATAGAATTAATGGGTTGTCGGTGCATGTAAATGAAACAGTTGATTTTCAATCTTGTCACTGATATTGGTCTGGACCAAGTTAATAGAAAAGGTTGGCAATTCTCATGGTGTAATAAGAGAGATGGAGATGATAGAATTTATAGCCATATTGACTGGGTGATGGGTAATGATAAGTGGTTTCAAGCATATGGAAACCTAGAGGCCATTTACTATAATCCAGAATGCTCAAATCATACTCATATTGTTATCAGGACATTGATCCCTCGACAAAAGTTGAAAAGGCCTTTCAGGCTCCTCAATGTACTAATCAAGCAGAACTCATTTAAGGAAGCTGTCAAACAATGTTGGGATAAAAACATCACTGGATGCCATATGTACAGATTGTGGATGAAGCTTAAGACATTGCCAAGTGAAGCAAGGGTGATGAACAAAGAGATGTCTACCACAGAGTCTAGAATTGAAAAATTACAACAGAGGGTGCAGGAAGTGCAGCATCAAATGGCCCAAGACATGTTCAATAATCAGCTAATAGTTGAGGAGAAAGAATCACTTACTCAGTTGGAAAAGTGGATGGGAATTCAAAAGCAAATACTAAGGCAGAAGTCCAGAGCTACATGAATATCATATGGAGATGCCAACACCAAGTATTTTCATGCACAACTGAAAGCAAGACAAGCCAGAAACAGGATATCTTCTATTTGCAATGATCAAGGAGTGCTACTCTCAGAGCCAGATTTGGTACAACAACAATTCTTGGAATATTATAAGCAGTTGTTGGGAGATGTTGAGTCACTAATGCCTTGTATTGATACTACTATTGCTAGAGATGGTCCCTGCCTTTCATTGAGCCAGCAGCAGGAATTGCTAAAACCAGTTACTAGAGAAGATATTATCCAAGCTGTTAAAGACCTCCCAAATAATAAAGCCCCTAGTATAGATGGATTCACAGCTGAATTCTTTAAAGCTCACTGGGAGACAGTAGGTGAAGATATGATTAAGGCCATATTACAATTTTTTGACATTGGTAAACTGTTAAGGGAGGTGAACTGTACCACAATCACCTTGGTTCCTAAAGTTGTCCATCGTATGCTAAAGATTTCAGACCTATAGCATGTTGTAGTACTGTCTATAAGATTGTTTCAAAGGTGCTAACTATAAAAATAAAACCCATGGTTGATTACCTGGTGGGTCCATCTCAATCTGCATTCATTGAAGGTCGAAACATTCTGGACAATGTGATTGTAGCTCATGAGTTAGTGAAGGGTTATGGGAAAAAAGGAGTATCCCCTAGATGCCTAGTAAAGGTAGATATCAGAAAAGCATATGATTCTCTGAATTGGGACTTCCTGAGGCAAGTGCTAATGGAATTTGGATTTCCTCAAAAACTGGTCAATTTGATCATGAATTGTGTTTCTACAGTGAGTTATTCATTGCTTCTAAATGGTGGTCCAACTCCTATATTTCATGCAAAGAGAGGGTTGAGACAAGGGGACCCCATGTCCCCATATCTATTTTTCATAGCTATGGAGTACCTAAATAGATCCTTGAAGCAACTAAGGAACAACCCTGATTTTAACTATCACCCGAGATGTGCAAAAAAGGAAATAGTTTATATTTGCTTTGCGGATGATCTACTGATGTGTTGCAGGGCAGACAAGGTCTCTATTCTACTCATGATGCAAGCATTTGAGCACTTTTCTAGTGTTTCTGGACTGAAGGCAAATCTGGAGAAGAGTTCATTTTATGTTGCAGGAGTGACACAAGAGTTCATAACTCAAATAATGCAAGATATGCATTTCACTATTGGGGAGATGCCATTCAAATACTTGGGTATTCTACTGTCTTCAAGGAAGCTTTCTATTCATCAGTGTCTACCCTTGGTCGAAAAAATAATTGCTAAAATTCAATGTTGGACCACTAAGTTCCTGTCATACAGTGGAAGAGTGCAGCTCATCAAGAGTGTACTGTTCGAGATGCAGACATATTGGGCCCAAGTGTTCCCATTGCCTAAGAAGATCTTGACTATGGTGACAAATGTATGCAGGAATTTCTTGTGGACTGGGAGTAATGAATACTCAAGAAGAGCCTTAATAGCTTGGAGCACAGTATGTCTTCCTAAAGCAGCAGGAGGATCAAATATATTGGACTTCTTTACATGGAATAAAGCTGCAATCTGCAAGCTATTGTGGGCAGTGGGTAAAAAGAAGGACAAACTATGGGTCTAATGGATCCATAGTATATACATAAAGGGCAGGGAGCTGAACAATATGCCAACCCCAAGCCAATCCGGCTGGTTAGTGAGGAAGATATTTGATGCAAGGAAATGGTTGACTCAATCTGGGAATGTGATAGACTGCCTTGAATCATTTGAAGATAGAGGGAAGTTCAGTATCAAGAAGGCTTATCAATACTTTATACCTGCATCTCCAAAAGTTCCATGGAAGAGTCTGGCCCTAGGGAAAGGAATTTCCCTAGGCACCAGTTTATTCTATGACTGACAGTTCATAAAAAGTTATCAACAGTGGACAGACTACAGAAATGGGGAATTACAGTGATGCAAGATTGTGTTTTATGTAACACAAATGCAATAGAGACATTGGAGCATCTATTCTTTTGCTGCGATTATTCAAAGCATATATGGAGCTCGCTGCTACACTGGTTAGGGGAGAAGAGATCAATTAGAGGATGGGATGATGAGGTCATGCGGGCTTCCAAGAGAACTAATAACTCTCGAGCAAGAGCAGGTATCATTGGTTTCTTATTTGCAGCAAGTATATATCACATATGGGCTGAGAGGAATGCAAGAAGATTCAGAAATCAGAGACGAGAAAGCAGGCAGCTGATCAAGGAGATTACATTGCAGCTACATATATATGGTCAGAAGAATGGCAAATGGCAGCAGCACCTGGATGGCCTGTTATCCAATATAGATTTTAAAGAGTTAATCATGTTACCACTGATATTGACAATAGTTATAGAAGTTAACTAGATAAAGAACAATTAGAAAGTTATAGAGATTAATGAGAGCTGACTCATGAGTCCAATGAGTCGTTTGTTTATATTGATATACTTGGTTAAATAAAAAAATTTAGTTTAACCAAAAGAAAAAAAGTTGGGATCGGCTCTATGAATCTTCACTAACTGTTTCAAAAAGAATGACCTCTTTCTATATTCGAAAATAAATTTAACTTAAACTTTCAATTCTACCCTCAGTGAAAATTTTTTATAGCCACACAAATAATCTGGCATGTTTAGCACCACAAGTTTCAAAAGAATTAAGCCACACAAATATTATGGTTTGTTTAGGACTACAAATTTTAAAAGTCTTCATTTCTTTTTTAAACTCCGTGCCGAGTCAAATTGGTTCAAATAAATTGGAATGTTAGTTGCCTGTTAATTTAGAGTAAAATTTATCATGGTGAATATGTGGCATTGAAAATTTGATACACATTTGGTCTTTTGGCAGGTTTCATCTGTTGTATTTCGCAAGGACATTGACAATCTTCTGGATTTCATAGAGAGGCTGAAGAATGGACGAGATCAAATTGCTCTTGACACAGATGAAATTGAAAATCTAACAATGTTGCTGAAGTTTATGTCGACATTTTTTCAGCTTTTTTATTTCATTCCCGAGGGTTTTGATGCCGAAATATCTTGCGTATTATATGAGCTTCATGATCTGGTTCAGTCACTTTTTAATCTGAGTGGAGATGGCGTGCTGCGTAAGTTGACGGGTGATGTCGCTCCTTGCCTCCTAAAAAAAATGGAAAGTTGTCTGAGCTCATATCATAATTCTGAACCAAGTGCCACTATGACTGAGGATCAGTTGGTTGAACTTTTGGACGCCCTCCTCGTGTATCTCCATGATCAATCCAAGTTGCTTGCTGAGTTCATTTGCCCATTAAAGACTGAATATGAGGTTCTTCAGAATGTATGTGGTAATTTAAGAGATTTCCATGGGCTAAAAGTAAATAATTACGTTGAGTATGAGACAATTGAATATGTCTTACCTCAGTTTCAACGTATGGCTGAGAGAGTACGACACTTCTGTTTTACCTTTTTGGCTTATCATTGTGAAATGATAGATGATGTTCCTCAAGTCAAGCTAGCTCATCTTCTTCTGGAGATTGTTCCTGTTCAACTGGAGGTTATGCACATATGTTGTACAAATTTG